TTTCACATCAACCAGCTCTGCTATAGCTAGCCCAATCTTATAACAAGAATAGTCATGAGTAAATCAAAACTGTTTGCAGAATTCATACCTATAATTAGCATTTGATACAAAGCAATCACTGGACTAAAATTAATGATAGCAATATAGTTTGTAGATGAACAATAATATTTATCTTTTATTACATACATTGCAATATTTAATAATTATCAGTTGCCTTCTAACTTTTTTCCTGTAGTTCTAAAATAGATGATTTAGTTCCTTTGAATTGAATCATGAAATCATGATGAAATATTAATAACCTAAATCAATGATTGTGGAAAGGGAAGATAGCCCATAAAATATTTAGTTGCCCAAATGTCATTCAGATGGTAACTTAATTATCTTTCATTTTTTTTCTTTCACTTTTAGTTGACATGTAGTAATTGTGCATATTTATGGGATACAGAGTGATATTTTCATGCATGTACATAATGTGTAATGATCAAGTCAGGGTAATTACATCCATCACATTAAACTTTTCTTATTTCTTTGTGTTGGGAATATTAAAAATTCTTTTAGCTTTTTGAAAATGTACCATAAATTACTGTTAACTATATTCATCCTACAGTGCTATAGAACACTGGAACTTATCCTCCTATGTAACTACAATTTTTTATCCATTGACCAACCCCTCACTATGTTTCCCTCATCCCTACTCTGCAGCCTCTAATAACCATAATTCTGCTCTTTACTTTCATGCATTTACATTTTTAGCTCCCACATATTAGTGAGAACATGCAGTATTTATATTTATGTGACTGATGTATTTCACTTAATATAATGTCCTCCAGGTTCACCTATGTAGGCTGCAAATGACAGGATTTCATTCTTTTTTATGGTTAAATAGTATTCTGTTGGATATATAGACCACATTTCCTTATCTGTTCATCTGTTGATGGACATTTAGGTTGATTCCATATCTTGGCTCTCATGACTAGTACTGTAATAAATATAGGAGGACAGATATCTCTTTGATATGCTAATTTTCTTTCCTTTGAATAAATACTCAGCAGGATTTCTAGAATCTAGACCTCTAACTCTTACCATATGCAAAAATCAATTCAAAATGGATTAAAGAATTAAATGTAAGACCCAAAACTATAAAACTACTAGAAGAAAAAAACAAGGAAAAAGGGAATTGCTTCAGGACATTGGGTCTAGGCAAAGGTTTTAAGGATAAGACCTCAAAAGCATAGACAACCAAAACAAAATACACAAATGGGACTATATAAAAAAAAATCTTCACAGCAAAGGAAACGATCAGCAGAGGGAAGAAGCAACCCAAAGAATGGGAGTAAATATTTGCAAGCTTCAGACAAAGTACTAATATTCAGAAAACACAAGAAACTCAAAATAAAAAATAGTAATAATTTGATTAAAAATGGGCATGTGACCTGAATAGGCATATCTCAAAAGAAGACATACAAATGGTCAAGTATATGAAAAAATGCCCAACACCATTAATCATTAGGGAAATGCAAATCAAAACTATAACAGGCCATCATCTTAACCCAGTTACAATGACTATTATCAAAAAGACAAAAAATAACAAAATGTTGGAGAGGATGCAGAGAAAAGGGGCTACTTTTTACAGTGTAGGTGAGAATGTAAATTAGTAGAGCGAGGGAAAACAGTATGAGTTTTCTCTAAAATCTAAAAGCAGAGCTAATACTCTCCATTTTAACTAATACTCTCACCTCATTGTCACTGACTAGGAGCAATGCTAAGTAGCTCTCAAAAGCAGTAGTAAGATGTTAACAGATGAGGCAGGCTTATATTAATTAAACAAAAGAAAATTGTTGTTCTTTGTAGGTGTTGATCCACTTCCAAAACGTCAATATTAAAAGTCCCTCATTCAACTATTAAAGTCATTCAGCTCTCCAGAGATACATTTTACAGCTAATTCACACTAGTAAGCCTAACTAAAATAGAGTAGTCTCCAAAAGAATCCAGGTCAAACTCTTCGCCTATACCTCTCTCGTATCATGGAATTAAAACCGTGAAGTTTCGCAGAAGTACCATACAGTATTTTGCTTGAGAATATATAAGACCGTACACATTTCATTCCAGAATTTAAGAACTCTGTGGCCTGATCTATTAAGAATTCCCTCCCTCCCTCCCTCCCTCCCTCCCTCCCTCCCTTCCTCTCTTCCTCTCTTTTTCTCTTTCGACAGACTCTTGCTCTGTTGCCAGGCTGGAGGGCAGTGGCGCCATCTCAGCTAACCGCAACATCGCCTCTCGGGTTCAAGCGATTCCCCTGCCTCAGCCTCCCAAGTAACTGGGATTACAGGCATGCGCCACCATGCCCGAATAATGTTTTATATTTTAGTAGCGACAGGTTTTCACTATATAGGCTGAAATTGTCTCAGTCTCCTGACCTCGTGATCTGCCTGCCTCGGCCTCCCAAAGTGCTAGGATTACAGGCGTGAGCCACCGTGCCTGGCCAAGAATTGACTATTCTGAAGTTTAGATGCCCAAACTGCAAAACAGAGTAATGATTGAGGGGAAAAAAAGTCAGATATTTATATGTCTAATTGCAATTCAATGTTTTAAAGTAATTTTTTTCTTATCATTCAAGACACTAAATAATTGAAACTTCTTAGAACTCATTTGTTTCCAACAAGGTCAGCATGAATACACCAGTATCTCACCACCCTGGGCAACCCTATCATCAGGGCATAGATTGAGTGTCATGATGGTACTGTTAGTCCTCTGAAACTCAGCAGCTCCCACCACTACTATGTGTTATGCATTGCAATTTCAATTACCGCAATGACATGAGTTTTAAATTGATCATCAAGGAAATCATTTTAGAATAATTCTGTTGTTAAAATGCTTCTTGACTTAATCTCTGAGACAGATTACCTTCTATTTTAAATTTGTTTGTATTAAGTGGCAGAAGAATAGCATGATTCTCTACCACCCCCTTATCCCAAAGTGTATATTTTCTCTTGACTGAAAATGGTGACTTGGGTACTTTACTCAATTCACTTAATTCCAGAAAATTGGAGCCAAATTTTGCCTCATTACAATGTCCTACATGTCTCAGAAGGCAGATTTTCTACTCTGACAAATTCAGTTCAGTTTTATCTCCAAACATTATTTTGTATGAGGTTGAATACATTAGACACTTTGAGCCGGCCTTAAGAGAGACAGTGTTTCTATTGAGAAAATTTGAAAATAACTAAACATTTAAAACAGTAATGCTCCTAGTCGTAAAAGCTCTGGGTTTACCAAGCTTCTTAACCAAACTTAAAAATTAACCCAATACTCACAATAACATTAGTCATTATTATAGTAGTAGTATTACTACTATTATGTTTATAGTAATAGTATTACTACCATAATAGTAGTAGTAATTTAATAGTAATAGTAGTAAAGAAACTTTTTCTTATCTTTCAAGGCACTAAATAATTGAAATTTCTTAGAAACTACTACTATACTACTATAATAATAGTAGTAATACTACTATTAATATTTATTGTTACCACAATTAATAGTTACTAAGTAGTTATTCTGTGTTCCACAATATACAAAGAGCCTTCCCTCATTTAAGATTCATTTTTGACTCTCTAAGTTTGCCATGGTGAAACTCAGAGAATTACATAAATTGTCCAATGTTGCACAATAGTAAGTGACAGGTAGAGTCAAGATTTAAAGATAACTATGCTTGACTTCTAAGCCCACAATATTTAATTGTACTTACCATTTGAATAAATTATCCTATTTATAAAATCCAAAAGCACACGTTCCACTCATTTATCTCTAATTGTTCATTTTGTTCGTATTTTTTTTGGATGGAGTCTTACACTGTCGCCCAGGCTAGAGTGCAGCGGTGCGATCTTGGCTCACTGCAACCTCTGTCTCCCGAGTTCAAGCAATTCTCCTATCTCAGCCTCCCAAGTAGCTGAGACTGCAGGCATGAGCCATCATGCCCGGCTAATTGTGTGTGCGTGTGTGTGTGTGTGTGTGTGTGTTTTAAATTTTTAGTAGAGACGGGGTTTCACCGTGTTAGCCAGGATGGTCTCAATCTCTCGACCTTGTGATCCACCCACCTCAGCCTCCCAAAGTGCTGGGATTACAGGCATGAGACAACCGCGCCTGACCTCTAATTTTTCAAAGGTAGGAATGTTATACTTTTGCAGAGAATGAAATTAGATCCTTATCTCTCACCATACACAAAAATCAACTCAAAATGGATTAAAGACTTAAATGCAAGACCAAAAATTATGAAGCTACTAAAGGAAAACATAGGGGAAATACTTCATGACATTGGTCCAGGCATGGATTTTATGGATAAAACCTCAAAAGCACAGACAACAAAAACAAAAATCAACAAATATGATTACATCAAAAAGGCCTCTTTAGAATCAAGAGACAACCTATAGAATGGAAGAAATATTTGCCACCTATACATATGACCAGGGTTTAATACCTAAAATAAGAAACTCAAACAACTCAGTAGCAAAAAAAAAAAAAAAAAAAAAAAAAACACCAAATACTTTAAAATGGGCAAAAGAACTTAATAAATGCTTCTCAACAAAATAAAATAAGCATGGCCAATGAGTACATAAAAAAAGTTCAATGTCACTAACCCTCAGGAAAATGCAAATCAAAACTATGAGATCTAACTTTACACCTGTTATTCATCTAGTATATACTGAACTTTGCCAATAGAACAATTGGCTTTCGGAAAACAATTCCCCTCACAATTACTTTAAATAAAAAAACCCAAATAATTTAAAAATTGGCAAAATGAACCTAATAAATACTTCTCAACAAAATAAAATAAACACAGCCAATGAGTACATTAAAAAAAGTTCAATGTCACTAATCCTCAGGAAAATGCAAATCAAAACCATGAGATCTAACCTTACACCTGTTATTAATCTAGTATATGCTGAACTTTGCCCATAGAATAATTGGCTTTTGGAAAACAGTTCCCCTCACAATTACTTTACCTTGAATATTTTTCTTCTTGTAGTTAAACAACTGATATTCATCTGTGGTTTTTGTAGTGTACATTGAAATAATGGGGAGAATCTCAGCATGGAAGGAAGAGAAGTTTATCTTTCCTCCTTCTTGCTTCCAGAGCCATCTGCTCAGACTTCCTGAGCTTTCTCATTCATGAGATGGGTGTCCTCAATAACCTTCACAATTCAGTGTGTGGTCATTTCAAATTGACACTTCCAGAGTGACACTTCCAGAGTGACACCTGGAAGCATGACATAAAGGAGAAAAAGGCATTTGTCAAATAAAAAATGAAAATGTGGCCAGGCATGCTGACCCACGCCTGTCATCCTAGCACTTTTAGAGGCCAAGGTGGACAGATCACTTGAGCTCAGGAGTTTGAGACCAGCCTGGTCAATATAGGAAGACCCTTGTCTCTACAAAAAATTAGCTGGGCATGGTGGCACACACCTGTGATCTGAGCTACTCAGTAGGCTAAGGTGAGAGGATCACCTGAACTCAGGACGTGGAGTTTGCAGCAAGCCAAGATCACACCACTGCATACCAGCCTGGATGACAGAGTGAGACCCTGCCTCAAAAAATAAATACACAAATAAAAATAAAAACATAAGGGGAATGAGAAAGGCAGAAACTCGGTTCTAGTTTTGTTATGTGGAACAAACATTCCAGTTTTAGTCAAATATTTGCCACCTTTTATAGCAGAATATTTTGTTATGTAAGTTCTATTTTCCCCTTTGATTTATAAGAAACCCTGACAATTAATGAGATGGCAGCTGTTAGTATCCTAGATAATTTGCTGAGCGTCTACTAATCCTTTCAATACGGCCAGTGTTCCTGAGTGAAGCAGCAGCATGCCTGCTTTTCCCTGGTTTCCCCAACTGAGTAAAAATTCATGAAAACAATTCCTCACCAACATAAAGAAAGTTCCCTAAGCAAGGTAAAGTTTAATCCTTCCAATCCCTTCTTTAGGAGATAATGTGGATTATAGGGAAGTAGTGGGTATGAGTGGGCTAGGAAATTGTTGGGTAATAAAAATATCTTTTTTTTCTTTTAGGCAAGGAAGCAATTTATAAAACCAAGATTAAAATGAAGAAATATATGCAGCCATTGGTAAATTCCTGAGAAAAGGCAAAGAGGTTGACGAGATAAAAGTGTAAAACACAGAAACAGGCTGGACTTGGTGGCTCACACCTGTAATCTTAGCACTGTGGGAGACCAAGGCAGGTGGATTGCCTGAGCTCAGGTGTTAGAGACCAACCTGGGCACCCTGGTGATACCCTGAGTCTATTAAAAATACATAAAATTACCTGGGTGTGGTGGTGCGCACCGGTAGTCCCAGCTACTCCGGAGGCTGAGGCATGAGAATCACTTGAACCTGGAGACAGAGGTTGCAGTGAGCTGAGATTGCACCACTGCACTCCAGCCTGGGTGACAGATCAAGACTTTGTCTCAAAAAATATAAAAATTTAAAACTAAAAAAAGGACAAGCACAGAAACAAAACAATAAAGAACATTAAGATTTATAATAAAGTTTATGATAAAAGAGTACTAAAAATACTTTTCACCAGAATATATAAAGAAGTCTTACAACTCAACAACAGAAAGACCATCAATTAAAATATGGTCAATGAATCTGATTAGGCATTTTACCAAAGAACACAGACAGTGGCCGGCCGCAGTAGCTGATGCCTGTAATCCCAGCACTTTGGGAGGCCAAGGTGGGCAGATCACCTGAGGTCGGGAGTTCAAGATCAGCCTGACCAACATAGAGAAACCCCATCTGAACTAAAACTACAAAATTAGCTTGGCATGGTGGCGCATGCTGGTAATCCCAGCTACTTGGGAGGCTGAGGCAGGAGAATCGCTTGAACCCAGGAGGTGGAGGTTGTGGTGAGTCAAAATCACGCCATTGCACTCCAGCCTGGGCAACAAGAGTGAAACTCCATTTCAAAACAAACAAACAAACAAAACAAAGAAGACAGACAAATGGCCATTAACCATCTGAAAAGATGTTCAACATTATTAGTCATTAGGGAAATGCAAATCAAAACCACAATAAGAACACTTCACACCTCTATAATGCCTATAATCAAAAAGACACACAAAAAAAGTATAGGCAAGGATGTGGAGAAATTGGAACACTCATACACTCATACACTGCTGGTGGGAATGTAAAATTGGATAGCTGCTTTGAAAAACAGTCTTATAGTTCCTCAAAAGATTAAAACCAGTTGCCCTATGACTCAAAAATTGTACTCCTGGATATTCACCCAAGAGGAACATATGTCCACATGGAGTTCATAGCAACATCACTCATAATAGTCAAAACTTGTAAACAACCCAATGTCCATCAACTGATAAATAAAATGTGATAAACCTCTACAATAGAACATTACTTAGCAATAAGAAAAAAATAAAGTTACTGGCTGGGCATGATGGCTTACGTTTTTAATCTCAGCACTTTGGGAGGCTGAGGTGAGAGGATTGCTTGAGCCTAGGAGTTCAAGACCACCCCAGGCAACATGGCGAAACCCCAGCTTTTCAAAAACTACAAAAAATTTAGCTGGGTCATGGTGACGCATACCTATGATCCAAACTACTCAGGAAGCTGAGGTGGGAAGATCACTTGAGCCCAGGAGATCAAGGCTACAGTGGAGCCAAAATCAAGCCACTGCACCCCAGGCTGGGCAATGGAGTGAGGCCTGTCTGAAAAAAATAAAAACTAAAAATTAAAAAAATTACTGATTCATGCTACCATATAGATAACTCTTAAAAATATTATGTTAGGTGAAATGAGCCAGACACAAAAGGACAAATATCAGGTGATTCCACTTATATGAGGTACCTGCGATAGGCAAATTCATAGAGACAGAAAGCAAAATAGAGGTTACCAGAAGCTAGGGGATGGATGATGGGGATTTATTATTTAATGGGTACAGACAGTCCCTGTTTGAGATGATGAAAAAATTCCAGAAATAAATAGAAGTGATGCTTGCACAGCATTGTAAGTGTACTTAATGCTACTAAGTTGTACATTTTAAAGTGGTTAAAATGGTACATTTTATGTTATGTATATTTTGCCAGAATTTTAAAAAATAATTGACAAAGTTTAGACAATTTTAAAGAGAGCACAAGATTTGCAGTTAACCTAAAAAATTCATGAAAGAACTGCATTTTAAGATTTATTTTAATAAATTTAACCTTTGCAAGTCAATTAATGATATCACCATCTTAACAAACTAAAAAGAAAAACCATATGATTATCTAGTAGATGCAGAAAATTTGACAAAATTCAACATCCACTACCCATTTTTTAAAAAAATATCAGCAAAGTAGGGATACAAGAGACTTTTCTCAACATGTTAAAGGACATCTTTAAGATATCTGCAGCAGGACTTTGTGAGACCGAGGTGGGTGGATTGCTTGAGCTCAGGAGTACTAGAATAGCCTAGGCAACATGGTGAAACCCTGTCTCTACAAAAAATTACAAAAATTATCTGGATGTGGTGGCACACACCTATAGTCCCAGCAACTCAGGAGGCTGAGGTGAGAAGATCCCTTGAGCCTAGGAGGAAGAGGTTGCAGTAAACCAAGATTGTGCCACTGCATTCTGACCTGGATGACAGAGTGAGAACCTGTCTCAAAATAAAATAAAATAAAATAAAATAAAATAAAATAAAATAAAATAAAATAAAATAAAATAAATAAGTTATTTGCAGCTAACATCCTATGTAATGAGGAAAGTCTGAATGGTTTTCCCTCAGATCAAGAATGAGACAGGAATTTCAGTTCTTCCCTCTTCTATTCAACATTATACTGGAGGTTCTAGCCACTGTAATCATTTTTGAAAACAGGTGAGTGGCATGTAGGAGAATGAAACTAGATCCTCATCTCTCACCTTATACAAAAATCAACTCAAGATGGATCAAAGACTTAAATCTAATACCTGAAACTATCAAGATTCTAGAAGATAACATTGGAAAAACTCTTCTAGATATTGGCTTAGGCAAGGATTTCGTGACCAAGAACCCAAAAGCAAATGCAGTAAAAACAAAGATAAATAGCTGGGACTTAATTAAACTAAAGAGCTTTTGCACAGCCAAAGGAACAGTGAGCAGGGTAAACAGACAACCCACAGAGTGAGAGAAAATCTTCACAATCTATACATCTGACAAAGAGCTAATATCCAGAATCTACAACAAACTCAAACAAATTAGCAAGAAAAAACCAAACAATCCAACCAGGCATGGTGGCTCATCCCTCTAATCCCAACACTTTGGGAGGCCAAGGCGGGTGGATCACAAGGTCACGAGATTGAGACCAGCCTGATCAACATGGTGACACTCCATCATCACTAAAAATACAAAAATTAGCTGGGCATGGTGGGGCACGCCTGTAATCCCAGCTACTCAGGAGGCTGAGGCAGAAGAATTGCTTGAATCCGGAAAGCAGATGTTGCAGTGAGACAAGATCGTGCCACTGTACTCTAGCCTGGTGACGGAGCAAGACTTCATCAAAAAAAGAAAGAAAGAAAGAAAGAGAGAGAGAGAGAGAAAGAAAGAAGAAAAAAAAGATCCCATCAAAAAGTGGGCTAAGGACATGAATAGACAATTCTGAAAAGATGGACAAATGTCCAACAAAGATATGAAAAATGCACAGCATCACTAATGATCAGGGAAATGCAAATCAAAACCACAATGAGATACCACTTTACTCCTTCAAGAATGCACACAATAAAAAACTAATAGATGTTGGCGTGGATATAATGAAAAGGGAACACTTCTACACTGCTAGTGGGAATGTAAACTAGTACAACCACTATGGAAAACAGTGTGGAGATTCCTTAAGGAACTAAAAGTAAAACCATCGTTTGATCCAGCAATCCCATTACTGACTATCTACCCAGAGGAAAAGAAGTCATTACATGAAAAGAGATTTGCACATGCTTGTTTATAGCAGCACAGTTTGCAGTTGCAAAAATGTGGAACCAACCCAAATGCCCACTAATCAACAAGTGGATAAAGAAACTGTTGTATATATGTACTATATATATATACACACACACAAGCTATGGACTACTACTCAGCCACAAAAAGGAATGAATTAATGGCACTCACAGCAACCTAGATAGGATTGGAGACTATTATTCTAAGTGAGGTAACTCAGGAATGGAAAACCAAACATCCTAAGTTTTCAATCATAATTGGGAGCTAAGCTATGAGGATGCAAAGGCATAAAAATGACAAAGTGGTAATCCCGGCGCTTTGGGATGCCGTGACGGGTGCATCACGAAGTCAGGATATCGAGACCATCCTGACTAACACAGTGAAACCCTTTTTTTACTAAAAATACAAAAAATTAGCTGGGTGTGGTGGCACACGCCTGTAGTCCCATCTACTTGGGAGGCTGAGGCAGGAGAATTGTTTGAACCCAGGAGACGGAGGTTGCAGTGAGCTGAGATCACGCCACTGCACTCCAACCTAGGTGACAGAGCGAGACTCCATCTCAAAAAACAACAACAAAAAAATGACACAGTGAACTTTGGAGACTTTGGGGAAAGAGTGGGAAGGGGGTGAGAGATAGGAGACTACAAATCGGGTTGTGTGTATACTGCTTGGGTGATGGCGGCACCAAAATCTCACAAATCACTGCTAAAGAAATCACTCATGTAACCAAATACCACCTGTTCCCCCAAAAACCTATAGAAATTAAAAATATATAAAAATGTTTAAAGGAGAAAGGAAAGGAAAAAGGAACGGAACTGAAAGACATCCAGATTGGAAAGAAATAAGTAAAACTCTTTTTATTCACAGATATGGTCTTCTAAGCTTCCGCAGCTTTTCAATATTCAACTCAATAAATCCAGAATGCTCAATAAAATTCATTAAAAAGCAACTTAAACTAATAAATGAGTTTTGCAAAGTTACAAGATAGAAGATCAAGATACAAAATCAAATGTATATCTCTACATTAGGAATAAAAATTAAGAAATTGACATTTTTGAAATAATACTATTTATCATAGCATTAAAATATAAAATGCTTATGGGTACATCTGAAAAGCTGCGTGAAAGACCTGTACAATTAAAACCAAAAAATATTTCTGAGAAAATTTTTTTAAAAAACAAAGGAGGCTGGGCGCTGTGGCTCATGCCTATAATCCCAGCACTTTGGGAGGCCGAGGCAGGTGGATCACGAGGTCAGGAGATCAATATCATCCTGGATGACATGGTGAAACCCCGTCTCTACCAAAAATACAAAAAAATATATAAAATTAGCCGGGCATGGCGGTGTGTGCCTGTAGTCTCAGCTGCTGGGGAGGCTGAGACAGGAGAATGGCGTGAACCCAGGAGGCGGAGTGAAACCTACCCATTATTATTTTGTCTTTGGAAAACTCCAGCTCCTTCATGGTAACCATTTCTTTTCCATCAACAGCTACGTTTAATGCAGCCTGGTTCACAAGATTCTCCAACTCTGCTCCAGAAAAGTCAGTGGTACCTCGAGCTATAATTTCTGGATCAATGGCTAATGTAAAAAGAGAACACAACACTAGAAGTCCAAAACAGGTAAAAGGTCCATCAGTGACAGATTGGATTAAGAAAATGTGGCACATATACACCATGGAATACTATGCAGCCATAAAAAAGGATGAGTTTGTGTCCTTTGTAGGGACATGGATGCAGCTGGAAACCATCATTCTTAGCAAACTATCACAAGAACAGAAAACCAAACACCGCATGTTCTCACTCGTAGGTGGGAACTGAACAATGAGATCACTTGGACTCGGGAAGGGGAACATCACACACCGGGGCCTATCATGGGGAGGGGGGAGGGGGGAGGGATTGCATTGGGAGTTATACCTGATGTAAATGACGAGTTGATGGGTGCAGCACACCAACATGGCACAAGTATACATATGTAGCAAAGCTGCACGTTGTGCACATGTACCCTACAACTTGAAGTTTAATAATAATAAATAAATTAAAAAAAAAAAAAAAGAAGTCCAAAACAGGTAAAAGGAAGCTCTTCACAAAGAACTCACATTCTGGCTGGGTGCAGTGGCTCATGCCTGTAATCCCAGCACTTTGCGACGCTGAGGCGGGTGGATCACCTGAGGTCAGGAGTTTGAGACCAGCCTGGCCAACATGGTGAAACCCCGTCTCTACTAAAAATACAAAAATTAGCTTACCGTGGTGGTGTGCACCTGTAATGCCAGCTACTAGGGATGCTGAGGCAGGAGAATCACTTGAACCCTGGAGGCAGAGGTTGCAGTGAGCCGAGATCGCACCATTGCACTCTAGCCTGGGCAAAAAGAACGAAACTTTGTCTCAAAACAAAACAAAACAAAACACAAACGCAAAAAAACAAAAACAAAAACTCACCTTCTGAGGGGAAAAAAGCAAATAGCTAGCTATAGCTATTCTGAGCCATAGTTTAGACATTTTTTCTCTGAATTTCATCTGGAAATACTTTGGACATAAAAGGTGCCCTAATTATAGGAAAAATATATAGTTTAATGAATTGATCCAGCTATCTCTGAAACTACTGTAGCTTTAATAATTTCATTTATTACTAAAATGGGTAATACATTTTCATATGTTTTGTTTTATAATTTGCATTCTTCTCTTTTGGCCCCATACTGACTATATCATGAGCTACTGTTTCTGAAGCTTTTTCTGTTATTTTGCATTTTACATTCATCTTAGAAAATATGTATATACATATATATTTCCTCAAATATTATCTGTCTGAATACTCTAAAAAAAACTTTCTTTAGAATCAGGGTTCAAAACAACAGAATCTCCTGGATACACAATGACTAAGGAATGAACTTTTAAATGAACATACTAATGGTAAAAAAACAGACGATAAAAATGAACTGGTCTTTTAATATTAATACATTTACCCTGAAAGGAGCACACACAGGGTGAGTTGTGTATTACCACTTTATAGAAATGATAATGTTTGTTTCGATAGAATTAGACTTATATTGATCGAACTTGATTTTATTGAGATACCATTTCAAAATTTCTGTTCGACCTTTTACATCTGTCCTTGGAACTGTAACCTGCATGTCAAAACGACCAGGAAGTATTAAGGTACTACAGGAATAATGTAAAAGGAAAATATAAATTAATAAACTGATGATGCTAAAGCTCAGATTCAACAGGACTGACACCCTAATGACATGAGTGGGAAGCCAAGGGCAGCCAGAGAACAGATGGAGTTTTGTACGTAAATATTCAGATAATTCCTTTTAAAACAAGGCTCAAGTAACAGTGTCAATAACCTGAAGGCAGAATAAAGGCTCATTTAGATACATGTGTATACCTAGATAGCCTACCCCTCAGAAACAAAAGCATGGAAGCAGCTCAGTTCAGGAACAAATAATTCCACAAAAAACTATTATGAGAAGCACACATCTAAGTGTGTGGTTAGACTTGTACGGAATGTTAGACTAAGTACAGAATGTTAGACTAGAGTCTTAGGCAGTGACAAACTAGTGATCAAATAAAAATATGAATAACTTGTACAATAAAATTTTTTTCATAGTAACTTTAAACCTAGTTATAATGCTACAGTGAATTTATTTTAAAAATGCTGTCTACATAAAACTTTTGTGACACATAACAAAGAAATATTTTAACAGTTTTATTGAGATTTAATTCACATAACAGAATTTAAAGTGGATACTTTAGTGGTTTTTAATATATTCAGAATTGTACAACCATCAGCACAATCTAATTTTAGAATATTCCCATCCCCACAAAGAAATCCCATATCCAGTGGCAGCCATTCCCCATTCTCCCTAACCTCTGGTAACAGCTAATCTAATTTGTCTCTGTGGATTTGCTTACTCTGGACATTGCCTATAAATGGAATCATATAATGTGATCTTTTGCAATGGACTTCTTTTAGCATAATTTTGTAGCATGTAAACAGCATGTCACAAAAATCTTCTTTTAATGCTTACTTATCTAATGCCTCTGGGAAGTGTGTGGCTCCTATTATGATAAGTCCTTCATTGGGTTGACAACTACATAGGAAAATATGTTATATTTTCACTAACATTGAAGCACAGCACACATGTAGAAATGCTCTACACAAAACAGTTTTTTTTTTTTTTTTTTTTTTTTGAGACTGGGACTCCCTTTGTGGCCTAAGTTGGAGTGCACCAGTACCTTCATAGCTCACTGTAGCTTCAAATTTCTGGGAAGAAGTGATCCTTCTGCCTCAACCTCTCAAGTAGCTGGAATAACAGGCACATGCCACCATACCTGACTAATTTATTTTTATTTTTTATTTATTTAAAAAAATTTTCTCCCCAATTTCTAGGTACAAGCCACTGACTATTTTCTTTCTTTCTTTTTCTTTTTTGAGATGGAGTCTCTCTCTTGTCACCCAGGCTGGAGTGTAGTGGCGTGATCTCTGCTCACTGCAAGCTCCGCCTCCCGGGTTCAACGCCATTCTCCTGCCTCAGCCTCCCGAGTGCCTGGGACTACAGGAGTCCGCCACCACGCCCAGCTAATTATTTTTTTGTATTTTTAGTAGAGACGGGGCTTCACTATGTTAGCCAGGATGGTCTCAATCTCCTGACCTTGTGATCCGCCTGCTAAGAAAAGAGACTGATACCACCAGTCATCTGTGACTACATATCTTCACAATTATCTGGTCTATGTAGGAAAAGATAACCTAATATAAAAAGTTTAGGTGCTTGGTTAATTTTTGAAAAATTACTTTCAAGCATACCAATTCAAATTATTCCCTCCTGGGCTTCCTATGTGGTTTCAAAATGTCTTATATTGACTTTTAAGACACTTCTTTCAAAGCAACATCAACTCTTGCTTTTTACATTATAAACATTGAGGTAAGCTTTAAACCTGCCACAACATTAAAAGCTAGTCATAAACTGTGTAGAAACAAGTGTATTTCTTCAAATAGACTACTAGTCTCAGCTTGAATCACTGTTTTTCTATCTTAAGTACAACAAATGAAAAAGAATATAAATACCACAAATTAAATGAATTGATATTCAAATATCTAATTAGTAGTGAAAACAATACAATAATGAGAGAAAAAGCTTGTCGAGTTCTTGCTTGAGGGACTACTCTGTTTCCTATACATGTCACATTTTTCGTATCTCTAGATATGAAATGCCTTATGGAAATAATTTGCATAAGATCACTTCTACATATATCAAATACTGGGAGGCATCACCATATTCTAAGACAAAAGGATACTCAATTACCCATTCATTTCAGCAAGAAGTTGATTTATGGTCTGCCTTAAATATGGATGCATTGAGATTCAATTCTCTTCCCACCAACAGAATCTAATTCCTCAATAAATGTAACACAAGCAACATTCGCATTTCTTCCCCTAAGACAACAAAAAAGATTCAAATAAGCTGAAAGAAGTTAACAGTTTTGAAAAAGATAAATATTAAAATTCTATAAAACTGTCAAAAGCCAACAAAAATATTCATTGTAAGAAAATACACAAAAGGAGGTCAATTTTTACTGATTTAAGAATAGTAGCTTCGGGGGGAAAAAATAAACTATACCAAAGAAAATGATTTAAAATAAAAGCAATCGGCATTCATTCTTCCTAGATATACAAATACCATATACAATTAGGTTTGAAGCTAATTACTCCCTAATTCCATACTATAAAATTGATGAATAAAATGAAAAAAAAAAAAAACTAAGAGATTTTTGGTAGCCTCCAACCTCATTTTGCACTTCCACTAGCTCTTTCGATAATTCATATATTAAGCTATCCAAATCGAGATCCCACAATTGCTATTTTAACTATCAAAACTAATTAGCATGCAAAGCTAGAGGCCCCAAAAAATAGAAATAGAAATTAAAAAAAGGAAAAAGAAAAGTAATTATCAAAGAAAGGGGAAGATACACACTTCCCTTAAAATTAACAAAATTTAGTATTGTATGAAAGATATATCAAAATGTACTAAAAAGATTTCTGATACTGCTGACTCCAACACCACAAACATCTCACCAAATTTGGATCCAGAAGCATAATAAAAAGGAACATCAGCTTCTCCTGCTCAGAAAGTGACTTTCCAGTCCCTGGGAGTCCAACTAAAAGAATTCCTAAAAGAAAACAAAACAAGAATGATTCAAAGTATTTTTTAAAAATCCCTCGATATGAACCTATAAAACAAATAGTTATTCATTTATATAATTTTCAGGTTAAGGTCATAACAATAAGCAAGATTTTGAAACACAGCAAACCATACTTGTGTCTGCTGTAGGTTCACTTAAGAATCTTGTCCAAAATTAATTTTCCTGTATCATGTAAGTATTGTTTACATACCAACAACAGACATGACAGGGAGAACCTTGAGGCAAAAAAATACAAACCCATTTATCACTAAATAAGTAAGATAAAAATTCAAGTAGAAATAGATTAAAAGACTAAACAATCAAATGCAATTCATGAATCTTGAATTGACAATATGATATTAAGGAAATAGTGTTAATTTTCTTTGGTGGGATAAGATTATTATGTTTATTTAGGACACTGTCCTTATTCTTAGGTGATGTATAATGAAGTCTTTAGATGTCAAGTAGTTGATGTCTATAGTTTTCTTTCAAATGTTTGGGGGGGAAACACACACATATACAGAAAGCAAATATGACAAAATGTTAACAATTGTTTAGTCTAAGTTGGTAGGATATGGACGTTAATTGTACTGTTCTTTCAAGGTTTTCCATATGTTTGAAAATTTTCATATCATAATAATTTTCACATGTTAGAAAAACAGAATTGCCTGATTTGTATGTTTTTGTAAATATACGTATTACATTTAAAAAGCAACAAAACTTCTTTACATACATGTTTGCTGCATTTTAACATTCAAAAATAGTAAAGAAAGCTCAAGCTCAAAGATAACTTTATGACTATCCTAGTATTGTCATGTTTCAGTGATACTTAACTGGTTTAAATCATATTAATTTCTGTGGATTACATCTTGGTATCTGAAGATTTTTCTATAAATTTATACTACTCAAATTTTCTACAAATTTAAAATACTCCTTGTGATTAGAAAGAGGAAGAGTGAGGCCGGGTGCAGTGGCTCACGCCTGTAATCCCAGCACTTAGCGGGGTCGAGGCGGGTGGATCACGAGGTCAGGGGACTGGCTAACATGGTGAAATCTCGTCTCCACTAAAAACACAAAAAATTAGCCAGGTTTGGTGGCGGGTACCTGTACTCCCAGCTACTCAGGAGGCTGAGGCGGGAGAATGGCGTGAATTTGGCAGGCGGAGCTTGCAGTGAGCGGAGATGCCACTGCATTCCAGCCTGGGCGACAGAGCGAGCGAGACTCTGTCAAAAAAAAACAAAATAAAAAGAAAGAAAGAAAAAAAGAAAGAGGAGGAGAGTAGGTCGGTCACGTGGCTCACGCCTGTAATCCCAGCAATTTGGGAAGTCGAGGCTAGTGGATCACCTGAGGTCGAGAGTTCAAGACCAGCCTGACCAATATGGAGAATCCCTGTTTCTTTTTACTAAAAAAAAAAAAAAAATACCCGGGCATGGTGGAGCATGCCTGTAATCCCAGCTACTCGGGAGGCTTGAGGCAGGAGACTCACTTGAATCCGGGAGGGGGAGGTTGCAGTGAGCCGAGATCGCGTCATTGTACTCCAGCCCGGGAAACAAGAACCAAACTCCGTCTCAAAAAAAAAAAAAAAAAGGCGGGGAGGAGTGTAACTATTAATACTTCTGTGGTTTTAAACATTCACTCCGTGATGTGATAGCACTGCTTTAATAAATGTGCCCTAAATTAGCAAAGGTTCCTTGCAGATAATTTCATACACTGCTGTATTCTCACTAGAGATAGGTGGCTGTATAAAAACAAGCATTAAAAAGGAGTGTCATCCTTTAACTCAGCAACTCCATTTCTAGAAATGTAGTCTAAGGAATAATTAAACATGAAGGCAAAGCCTTGAATTAAGATGATCACCACAGTACTATTTTTAATAGCAAAAGACTGGAAACCAAATAAAAATTGAATATAAATGGTTAAATTGTGATACAACCATAAATTAGAAGGATACTATGAAGTCATTAAAAATCATGTTAACCATGAGAAAACATCAGACAAAGCCAAACTGAAAACATTCTATAAATAATTAGGCAAGTACTCTTTGCAACTATAAAAAGCATGATTAATCCTCTTCTCCCTACTCCCTCACAAAAAGGCTAAGGAATTGTTTCATTAAAACAAACAAACAATAAAAATCTAAATGTTATATGTGATCCTGGATTGGGTCTTCAACTGGGGAAGAGCGTAAGGATCAGGGTAACACTACAACGGATATAGACTGTAAATTTCATAATGGTTTTGTAGATATGTTAAATGTCTTTTTTGTGTTGCTGTTTTTTGAGATGGAGTCTCACTCTGTCCCCCAGGCTGGAGTGCAGTGGCTCAGTCTTGGCTCACTGCAACCTTCCTAGGTTCAAGCGATTCTCTCGCCTCAGCCTCCTGAGTAGCTGGGATTACAGGCACCTGCAACCAAGCCTGGATAATTTTTTTTTTTTTTTTTTTTTTTTTGTATTTTTAGTAGAGACGGGTTTTCACCATATTGGTCAGGCTGGTTGGAACTCCAATGGCCCCTGGTTCAAGACCAGACTGGTCTTGAACTCCTGACCTAAGCAATCCATCTGCCTCCACCTCCCAAAATGCTGGGATTATAGGTGTGAGCCACCACACCCAGCTAATGTCCTAATTTTCGTATTACTCTGGAGTTATGTAAAAGAATACACTTAGGGGTGACTATGTTTACAATTTACTCTCAAATAGTTAAAAATTCATTTACTGACAAATAATTTTTATATTTATATATGTGTAAAGAGACAAAGTGAATGATTTTATAAGGGAGCTAGGTTGAGCGCACTGGCTCATGCCTGCAGTCCTAGTATTTTGGGAGGCCAAAGTGGGTGGATCACTTGAGCCCAGGAGTTCAAGAGGAGCCTGGGCAATATGGAGTAATATCATCTTTACAAAAAATACAAAAATTAACCGGCATGGTGGTGTGTGCCTGTGGTCCCAGCTACTTGGAAGGGTCACCTGAATTCAGGAGGTCATGGCTACAGTGAGCCATGATTGCATCACTGTACTCAAGCCCAGACCTAAAAAAAAAAAGAACTAAATATTAAAAATGTGTGAGTCTAGGTTAAGGATATGAGGAGCATTCTATGTACTATTGCTGTAACTTAAAGTCTGAAATTATATAAAAATTTGCAGTTACAAAAAAAAAGCTGTGGAATTTGTTCAGAATGATCATCCATTTTGTAAAATAGCAATTAAGACTTAAACTTTAATCAGTTAAAATTATATTAGTGATATATTACAGGGATTTTTTTAACACCAAATCATGGGAAAGAAAAGATATCTTACCTTTCAGAAGTTTACCTCCAAGAACCATAAATTTTTGTGAATTTTTCAAGAATTCAACAACTTCCTGTAATTCTTGTTTAGCTTCCTCCACCTAAAGTGACACAATTTTTCAAATAACTTTAGATAATGGATACATTTGGTTAGATTATCAAGGCTTCCCTTTTGAAAACCATAAATTTAATTTGGATATGGAATTAACCTGGCCTTCTTTATTTCAGTGAAAGAAGTACACAAAAATGGCCCCTTATAAAACACACAAAGGGTTTTCTTCTGACCATTATTTCCAGTTATGCAAAATCTCCTTACTATCCCCAGAAAATAATTCTGAATTTTCATTTTCTCAGTGAGAAAACAAAAGTCAAATACATTGGGCATAGTTAAAAATAAACTACCTAATGAGGAGCAGACTTAAACATGAAACATATCCTTATGCCGAAGGGCATTCCAAAAATGTACAATTATTGTCATGATTCACTTATTATTTCAAGAAAAATCCCAGACGTATTTCCAGGAAATATTATACTTATTAAAGAGCAAACTTATGTTTTTTTTGTTAGACTTGGAATGGTCTTTGAAAGTTATTCTGATTAAATCATTAATTAAAAATTTACTAATGTTGCCAGGTGTGGTGGTTCACGACTGTAATCCCAACACTTCGGGAGGCTGAGGTGGGTAGATCACAAGGTCAGGAGTTCAAGATCAGCCTGGCCAAGATGGAGAAACCCCGTCTCTACTAAAAATACCAAAAAAAAAAAAAAAAAAAATTAGCTGGGCTTGGTGGTGGGCACCTGTAATCCCAGCTACTCAGGATGCTAAGGTAGAGAATTGCTTGAACCCTGGCGGCGGAGGTTGCAGTGAGCCAAGATCACACCACTGCACTCCAATCTGGGTGACAAAGTGAGACACCATCTCAAAAAAAAAAAAAAAAAAAAATTACTAACATTTTAATCAAGTTAATGGTTAAAAATAAAGCATTTTCTTTTCACAGAGTGTGTGTATATATGTGTGTGTGTGTGTGTGTGTATGTGTATATATATATATATGAAAGCTTTGCCCGCCTCCTAGGTCCAGAAGTGTGTACATATGTTCACCAAGAGATGTGTACAAGAATATTCACACCAGCTCTATTTGAGCCAAAAACTAGAAATAACCCGAAAGTCCACCTAAAGTAGTATAATTGCACACTGTTGTGGTATTTGTATAATGGAATACTATGCAATAAGGATAAATAAACCACAGCTCAAATAACTGATGGATCTCACAAACATTATGTTGAATAAAAGAAGCCTCAGCCAGGTGTGGTGGCTCATATCTGTAATCCCAGCACTTTGGGAGGCCGAGGCAGGCAGACCATGAGGTCAGAAGTTTGAGACCAGCCTTGCCAACATGGTGAAACCCTGCCTCTACTAAAGGTACAAAAATTAGCCAGGCTTGGTGGCAGGCACCTGTAATCCCAGCTACCTGGGGGACTGAGGCAGGAGAATCGCTTGAACCCAAGAGGTGGAGGTTGCAATGAGCCAAGATTGTGCCACTGCACTCCAGCCTGGGTGACAAGGCAAGACTCTATCACAAAAAAAAAAAAAAAAAAAAAGAAGAAGAAGAAACACAGAATGCCTCTTACTTTGTAAACTCTAAGTAGAAACTCATACAAAGAAGATATTCTATATGGATTACATTTATCAAAATTCAAAAACAGGCAAAATTCATGTGTGGTATGGTAGGAAAGGAAGTGTCTAGGTGGGGAGAAAGGCGGTAGCAGAAGGAGGCATCAGGGAGGTTCTGGGCTTCTGATAATGCTCATTTTTCTCGAGTTGGAAAAAAAAAAAAAAAAAAAAAAAAAAAAAGCATCATACAAAAGAAGATATTCTATATGGATTACATTTATCAAAATTCAAAAACAGGCAAAATTCATGTGTGGTATTAGACAGGAAAGTGTCCCTAGGTGGGGAAGACGGTAACCAGAAGGAGGCATCAGGGAGGTTCTGGGCTTCTGATAATGCTCTGTTTCTCGAGTTGGATACCTATAACACAGACACTTTTTGAAAATTTATGCACCTTGGTGTGAATTTGTTAAACTTCAATGAGATTTATGGTCAAAAAAAAAAAAAAAAAAAAAAAGACTTGGCTGGTTTATTAAAAGACAACTTGAAAGATAATATCCATGTGCTAAAAGAAGACTAAAATACATTTGGTCAAAATAATAGATATAATGCCAATTTTAAGTTGTAGGGATAAAGGAGAAGAGATTAAACATAATTTACCATTCAAATAAACTATATTATCTCCCCAAATTCTGCAGCAAGAGAATTCTCACTTGAGGAACGTAAGATCTATCAAGGAAAATAGTTAATGGGATCAAGGTAACGAATCAAGTTATTAAAAGCCCTTATTAATATTTAAGGCTATATATACAAGTATGCCTATATATTCAGAAATTCTAGGCAAGGAAACGATATTCCTATACAAGCTCTTTGATATTTGGTAAAAATGTGAACACAGGAACTACGTAATGGCAAAGCTGTTCTGATAAATGCTATTGAATTTGCTCTACGTAAATTTAGGTCTTATGACAATTATAAAATTAATTCATTTTAGCATGGAAAACTTTGTAGGATCTATCTTAATTGTGATGTCTACTTTCATTATGCTTAGTCATCAGGATGGTTTTAGTTTAGTACTCAGAAATCCCCACATTCCAGGACAAGCGTGGTGGCTCATGCCTATTACCCCAGGACTTTGTGAGGCTGAGACGGAAGGTTTGCCTGAGCTCAGGAGTTTGAGACCAGCCTGGACAACAAAGTGAGACTCTGTCTCTACAAAAAAGAAAAAAGAAAAAATCAGCTGGGCCCGGTGCCTCTCACACCTATAATCCCAGCACTTTAGGAGGAAAAGATGGGTGGATCACTTGAACTCAGGAGATCAAAACCAACCTGGGCAACACAGCTAAATCCCGACTCTACGAAAAAAGTACAAAAATTAGCCAGGCGTAGGGGCACACACCTGAAATCACAGTCACCTGGGAGGCTGAGGCAGGAGGATGGCTTGAGTCCGGGAGTAGAAGTGAGCTAAGATCACACCAATGCACTTCACCCTGGGTGACAGAGCCAGACACTGTCTAAAAAGAATAATAAAATTAAATTAAAAAATCAGCCAGGTGTGGTGAGGCATGCCTGTGACCTCAGCTATAAGGGAGGCTAAGGCAGGAGTATCACTTGAGTCCAGAAGGTCGAAGCTGCAGTGAGCCAAGATCACGCCATTACACTCCAGCCTGGGCCACAGAGCGAGACGCTGTCTCAAAAAAGAAAAAAATTATCTCATTCCAAAAGAAGTGTGGTATATTCAGTAAATAAGTATATACATTACAGGCAGAAAATAACAATGCCCTATCTGACCACAGCCTTAATACAGGCTCAATTTAGAAAAGGCATGCAGACCTCAAACACAATGAGAAGAGCCCTCCACACTGATGATTGAAGGTTTCAAATAATCACTGCACCTACCTCTTCCTCAATTGTTCCCTTTATACAATTCCAACAGGGTTCATAACCATTTAAACTGGAAAGGAAAGGAAATAACTGCTTGGTGTAAAACTATCATAATGATTCCCAATTCCTTATTCCCCAATAGTCTAGGTTGAAAAAAACATGAGACACAAGTATGTGAAGAGGAAAAGCAGAAATAATAACGTAACTAGTCTCTTCAGAGTTGGAAGAGTCCTCAGATCACGTACTTCAAATCCCTCCTGCAGGAAGAATTTCTTCCAAAACTTTCCTGAAAGATAATTACCCAGCCACTAGAGATCTCAGAAATCAAATATAATAGAGCAGATGTAATGGCAAAGCACAGAGAAGAGCACGGTGTGGGACTAAAGTTCTGGAATTTATATGTGGAAGAGATAAAAGAAATAGAAAAGCAGTAGAAAAAAACATTTTGACTTGTATTGATGTAAATGCATGATCCCAAATTTCAAGTGAGCCCAACAGCTTTATTTCCCATTTCCATTCGTTCTCCTATTCCTACACAATTTACTTCCTCCGTAAATCACTCATTCCTCCTCTCGCAACCATATTCTTTCTTCTCGTTACCTTGATTCTGTCAATTTCCACAACCCCCACCTACTAGTTTACCGACATTCCAACTTTATTTTGTACTATGAGATAAATTATCTGCGCTTCTCTGTCAAAAAAAAAAAAAAAAAAAAAAATCCAAGAATTGTTTGTAATCCTCTATTCCATCTCAATTCTTTTTACCTCTTGTAAACCCACTGCAGTTGGAATTTAACCCCTGCAACTCCATTAAAATTGCTCTTTATCAGGTACACCAATGACCTACTGCTAAATCAAATGGTCAGTTCTCACTTGGCCCATCAATAGCATTTCACATAGCTGATCACTCCCCTCATCATAGAAATATTTTCTTCTAGGATACCTTTGTCACTTAACACTAGCAGCTCCTTCTTAGTCTTGGTTCCTGGCTTCTTCTCTCTGTCTTATGAACCTTCAAGTGTTCTATAGCTCAGTATTTAGACTCTCTTCTGGTTACACTTACTCCCTGGGTAATCTCATCTAAACATGTGTACTTAACATATATGTAAATATATGTTAAATTAAACATGTTATATATAAACTTATGTTATATGTTATATATAAACAACATATATAAGTATATGTTAAATTAAACATGTTATATATGTTATATATTATATGTTAAATATAAATATAACATATATAAATATATATAAATGTAATCTCATATTTTAAATTCTAGCTTAGACCTATCCCATACCTCCCAAGTGGTATATCCAAGTTACTCAACCTTTCATTTGTATCTCTCACACCTAACATACCTAAAACTAAATTTCCAACCTTTGTCCCCCAAATCTGCTCCACTCACAGCCTTTTAAATCCTCAATAAAGGCCAGGCGCAGTGCTCACAGCTGTAATCCCAGCACTTTGGGAGGCCGAGGGGGGCGGATCACGAGGTCAGGAGTTTGAGACCAGCTTGGCCAACATGGTGAAACCCCATCTCTACTAAAAATACAAAAATTAGCCAGGCATGGTGGCAGGCGCCTGTAATCCCAGCTACTCAAGAGGCTGAGGCAAGATAATCTCTTGAACCTGGGAGGCAGAGGTTGCAGTGAGCCGAGATTGTGCCACTGCACTCCAGCCTGGGCGACAGGGCAAGACTCTATCTCAAAAAAAAAAAAAAAAAAAAAAAAATTCTATTGGTTTTACTTTCAAAAATGAACAAATCAGATACCCTAATACCTCAGAACGTTTGCTCAATCTGTTCCTTTGGCCAGAAATGTTCTTGTCTCAGATAAATGCAGTTTATTCCATCTTCTCCTTCAGATTTTCTCTCAAATGTCACCTTCTCTATCAATCACACTCTGAACATTACATTTAAAACTATAATTTTTCTCCCAGAGCTCCTATTCCTCTTTACCCTGCTCTATTTTTTCCTCCATACATTTTTATTACCTTTTAACATACTCTACTAAATTCTTATACGACATATCAGTGTCTAGTTCCTGCTTTTAGAATTTAAACTCTATGAAGGCAAAGATTATTCTATTCCAGCAGCTAAAATAGGGTCTAGCACTTAATAGATACTATTAAATATTTAGGCCAGATGTGGTGGCTCACACTTGTAAACCCAACACTTTGGGAGGTCGAGGTGGGTGGATCATGAGGTCAGGAGATCGAGACCAACCTGGCTAACACGGTGAAGTCCTGTCTCTACTAAAAATACAAAAAATTAGCCAGGCGTGGTGGCGGGTGCTTGTAGTCCCCGTACTCAGGAGGCTGAGGGAGAAGAATGGCGTGAACCTGGGAGGCGGAGGTTGCAGTGAGCCAAGATCGCACCACTGCACTCCAGCCTGGGTGACAGAGCGAGACTCCATCCCCCCCCTCAAAAAAAAGCCGTTAAGTATTTAACAAATTAATTAACTATAAACTGGGATTTATACATTCTATTCATTCAAGAAATATACATTGTCGGCTGGGCACGGTGGCTCACGTCTGTAATCCCAGCACTTCAGGAGGCTACTGGAGTTAGAAAAATCAATAAGAGGTATAGGTAAAGAAGGACTATTTATTAACTATCTACTATGTGCCAAGCACACACATTATTTGTCAGAATCTAAAGTAATTTCCTCAAGGTTACATAGCTAATAAGTAGAAAAAATGAATTTCAAACGTTAGTCAACTTGACTCTGAAGTCCACATTCACTCCACTATACCAGGCTGCTCCTTCATAAATTATACTAATCTCTGTCATAAAGCAAGATTTGATACTTGGGTATTATTATTTATCCCAAAATACAAATGTTTCTAATACTTTGGGATACAATTTTACCTATTCCAGAATACATTGTAGAATCAAATATCGACTTTATTCAGAGTATCAATTAGAGAATTAATGAAGAAGGCAAGACAATCTTCTTAACTTACACCTTTAACATGTTCGAAGGTGACATTTTTCATCTGGACAGGATCTACTGCAGAATCAAGCCCCATTGTTGTCCAGAAGCAGACTAAAGGGAAGAAAAGAAATGTTTATATTTGATAGGTTAATAATATTCCAATCACTTTACTTTTTAGATGTAAGAAAGCAAAGCCTAGAAAAATTAAATATCTAAGAGAACTAACTTCACATATCAAAGCAGAATGAGGAATAGAAACTAGGTCTCCTGGATTTCTAAACCATTTTCAAAGAGTAAGCGATTCACATTAAGAAGACATATTTCAGTTGCTCTGCCTATGGAGTAGCCATTCTTTTATTCCTTTACTTTCTTAATAAACTTGAAAAAAAAAAATTAAAAAATAATAAGACATATTTGTACTTTCCAGTAAATAAAATCAAAAATTATTTCCACTTCTCATTGTAGTATCTAATGATAGAAATCTTAAATCAGCATTTCTCAATCTTTGGTGTGAATAAAACTCACTTAAGAAATATGTTAAAATGCAGGTTCTCAGGCCACAGCACAGAACTATGTTTGGAAATTTGAGAAAGGGCCCAGGAGAATTTGCATTTTTAACAAAACCTTTGATTATTCTGATATAACTGGTCACAGATATACACTTTGAAATATATTGCCTTAAAGTTAGCAGAAAATACTGACACACATTAATAAGAAATTGAAGTTTAACACATTATTACACTTTTCATGTAGTCTTCTTCCTCTGAAAACTGTTATTGCTTGCCCTCAAATGGCCTATCAGTTATGACATCATTAAGTACAACCAAGACAGAACAAGTCTAATAGGACAGGAAAATACTTGAGATCAGTTTTGGAGAACTATTACAAGGATTTCTTAAATCTTTCCCACTCATGTAGAAACTTCCAAACTAGAGCAGTTATAAATGAGTAAATTGAGCAAATTCTAATTTCCTCAAAAGAAGCCCCAAAATACTTTTAAAATAGGCTGAAAAATGAGTTGGCAAAATACAGGGTTAAGAAGAAATCCTTAATAAATCAAGAACACGGAAGCTGGGAGAGCAAATTTAAAATAGTAATTCTAGAATGAACACTGATAGTTTTAGCCCACTAAAGTATTTTTTAAAGAATCTGTACATATCCTTAATAATAAAGAGAATAGAGAACACAGGGTGAAAACTGCATGGTGGTTGAAAAGGTAATTGGAACCACTTAAGTCTGACACTATTACTTCATTTCAGATAAGCAAACTATAAAAAAGGGAAACATTTAATGTGATTTTATTAGTTTATCTTTGAAATAGAAGGCTTGTATTGCTTGTATCAGCTTGTATTGCTATTATAAAATTCTTCCACATAATTTTTAAATTAATTAAATAATTAATTTTCCTTTCACCCTGGTGATCAGGATAATTTTTAAATTTTATAACTGGACAGGTATCATTTCCAAAAATCTGGGAAACTAATCACTACTAGGAATGAAAGCCTAGCTTCTAGAACTATAAACATTAATGTGTTCTTTCTTTAAGGCTTAGATTAAGCATTAAAAAGAATCATGTATTTAAAGGAATAAGAAGCTAATACATTAGATTAATAAGAAAACTTTTAACAGATAAAAATGGTTTTTTTAGAAGTCCATGAATGCCGAATACCAGCAGAATGAAGAGAATCAGACAGGTTCATCTTAGGGAATCTAGGAGAGAAAGAAAAAGCCTTACATCAAATAACATTAATGAAATATGACAGCTCAATGAAATGCAAATATTAGGTTATTGTTGATAATCACATTTCATCACATGCAATTTTAGAATCTGACATTCTTTTTCATAACTGCTATGATTTCCTGTAAGTACCCTATTATTAGAAACTTCATTAAAGCTGAGCATCGTGGCTCATGCCTACAATCCCAGCACTTTAAGAGGTCAAGGCAGGAGGATCACTTGAGCCCTGGAGTTCAAGACCAGCCTGGACAACATGGCAAGATTCCATCTCTACAAAAATTAGCTGGATGTGGTGGCATACGCCTGTGGTCCTAGCTAGTCAGGAGGCTGAGGTGAGAGGGTCACTTGAGCCCAGAAAGTTAAGGCTGCAATGAGCTGTGATTACACCACTGCACTCTGGCTTGGGCGATGAAGCAAGACTGTCTCAAAAACAAACAAACAACAATGACGACAACAAAAACACACACACACACACAGAAACAAAAACCAAAGAAACAAAAACCTTTATTAAGCCACTCACACTTCCTGTTCTTCAATTTGGTTTTTCTCTTGAGAAAGGGAAACCATCAGTAGAACCTCCATTTCTACATAAAATTACAAATATAGTGGAATTCAATCAGTAGAAAGATGGATGGTCTTAGAAAGTTACTTAAAACTTCAATGTAGGATTATGACTTCCTTTCAGTTATTCTTCTCAAATATGAATAGTTTCAAATCAACTTATCATTGGGTTTTTTTTTTGAGAGTGCTTGAGCTTTCAGAAAAGCTTCTGCAAACCCAGTTTTCAATGCATCTTGGTGAGCTTCAGGAATGTTTTTGGTTTTCATGAGTTTGTCCAAACTCTCAACATCTGATCCCCTGTCCTGCAAAAGAAACCCCTGAATACACGAACACCACATCAATACTTGTTAACAACACAGTGACACTCCCTAGCAATATTGTGACCACTCAAAAAAATTCACTAAAATTCCATTCTTTTTACTGTCAATGTGAAGAAACAGATTAAGACTCAACAATGAATTAATCAATAACTTGGAAACTAACACTAGATCCTATTCCTGCATTAATCAATTAATAGTATCAAGAAAGTGGCATTATTCTCTGCAAGAATACTATACTGCAAATAGGTCACATATTATCTTAGGGTTTGATTGGCTTAATGTTCACATCACCTTATCTCTGCTAGAGGAAAAATTTCATTAATTTACTAAATGTCTACTAAGCACTAGTCACATACTTGGCCTTATATAAGTTCTGAAGATGTGGCCAGGCGTGGTGGCTCACACCTGCAATCCCAGCACTCTGGGAGGCCAAGGTGGGCAGATCACGAGGTCAGGAGATCGAGATCATCCTGGGTAACTTGGTGAAATCCTGTCTCTACTAAAAATACAAAAAATTAGCCAGGCATGGTGGCTGGCGCCTGTAGTCCCAGCTACTCAGGAGGCTGAGGTAGGAGAATGGCATGAACCCAGGAGGCAGCGCTTGCAGTGAGCTGAGATTGAGCCACTGCCACTCTAGCCTGGGAGACGGTGCAAGACTCTGTCTCAAAAAAGAAAAAAAAAAAAAAGGTTTTGAAGATGTAAAGATAAATAAACCACTGGTCTTTAAGTTTTCAATCTAGTGAAGAAACATATGTAAACAGCTGGGTTTCTTAAATCATTTCGATATCATATTAGAAGTATTATGTATGGTGGTAAATAAATGCTACCTCAGGAAGACAGGAAAGGCCTTACAGAGCATAGGACATCTGAAACACCACTATACAAATTCCACTATATTTGTAACTTAATCGATGTAGAAATGGAGATTCTGATGATGGTTTCCCTTTCTCAAGAGAGAAAATAAACACCATGAACAATCTGACAGGGGTATGAAACAATTAGCCCCCAGGGCTCAAGAACTACCAGCAATCTTATATAAGACTTCAATGCCAAGAGAGGAGCAAGAAACGGAGGGGCATATCAAATGGTGAGAAGAGAAACACGGCAGGTAGAGACCAAATAATGAAATTCCCAGTGTATCAGGTGGAGGTAAGAAATAAAGCTAAGTAATGTAACTAGATCATCATTTTAGAAGGACTGATAGGTGGCAGTCTGGAGGTGGGACTGAATGCAGCAAGACTAGAGGCCAGGAGACTAAACAAGTATTAATTAGAGTAATTTAGGCAACAAATGGTTATAGGGTATCTATGGTAGTGGGACAGATTTAAGAAAGATTTAGGAGGTTGGGTCAACAGGACTTCAGTGGTCAATGGATGTGGGAGGTGAGGCAAGATGAACAAATGTAGGTTGACAGCCAGGTTTTTAGCTTGGGTGAATGCTGCTCATTAATACAGAGAACACCTAAACAGGTCTAGGTTTGTGGGAAAAAAATATAGTAAGTGGAGAGGTAAGTCTGGTGCCCAGAAGAGTTAGAGGTATAATGACGACACAGGTTACTAATTCCTTATTATTAGTGGAAAGAAGGAAAAAAATCTATCAGCCAACAAAAGAAATCAGATATTGAAGCTCCTCATTTTTTGTTTGTTTGTTTGTTTGTTTGTTGTGGTTTTTTTTGAGACGGAGTCTCACTCTGTCACCAGGCTGGAGGGCAGTGGTGCAATCTTGGCTCACTGCAACCTCTGCCTTCCGGGTTCAAGTGATTCTCCTGCTTCAGTCTCCCAACTAGCTGGGACTACAGGCGTCCGCCACCATGCCTGGCTAATTTTTGTATTTTTAGTAGAGACAAGGTTTCATCATATTGGCCAGGATAGTCTCGATCTCTTGACCTCGTGATCTGCCCGCCTTGGCCTCTCAAAGTGCTGGGATTACAGGCACCAGCCACCGCAACTGGCCAAATTAAACAAATTTAAGTTGCACACCTCCTGACCAAACAAGATTTTCAAAAGATGTTTATCTAAGAAATTAGATGCTTACTTCATTGAGACTTCTCAAAAGTTTTACTGGATCTGCTGCAAATTAGTTTAAATTTAAAAAGCAATTGAATGAAGTATATAAAATAACTTAAAGTTGTGTTCCCATAGACAAAGGTAATTTTTTTTTAAAGTTGTACCATTTAATCTCAAATCAGTCATGCTTGGTACCTGTTACACTTTCTTTCATAAATGTCAACAGGTCACATTTTCAAAAGCATTGCTATCCAAATGTAGCCAATAAAATGACTATTATTTTATTTGGTTTTGTTTCCTTTTTTTCTTTTTCTTTTTTTTCTTTTTTTTTTTTTTTTTTTTTTTGCTTCTTTTTTAGATGGAGTTTCACTCTGTTACCCAGGCTGGAGTACAGTGACGCGATCTTGGCCCACCACAACCTCTGCCTCTCGGGTTCAACAATTCTCCTGCCTCAGTCTCCCAAGTAGCTGGGACAACAGATGGGTGCCACCATACCTGGCTAATTTTTGTATTTTTAGTAGAGACGGAGTTTTACTATGTTGGTCACGCTGATCTCAAAATCCTGACCGCATGATACGTCCTCCTTGGCCCCTCAAAGTGCTGATATTAACAGGCATGAGCCACTGCACCCGGTCCATTTTCATTTTTCAAAAGCATGTTCTTTAGACATCAATGTTTCATTTCTTTTAAAGCTTGAGAATATAGAGGAAGCATATTTCAAAGAAAGTTATATATACATGGTATGCACCATCAGATTTGGCCTTATCATGATATCTACTCATATCTGAGCACCAAAACTCACTGGTGGTTCTCTATTTTTGACCAGACAAATTATTTTTACTGAGTCTTCCTCATTGTCAGTATCTTCAGGCATAGGAGGCAACACAGGGTCATAATTCTTCTGAGCCACAGTATTATGTACAGAGAGCAAAGCCTGTAACATTCAAAGGTATATATACATATAAATGACATATATATATCATTTAAAGCACATCAAACTATAAAGAAAATCAAAACAGCATTACAGTTTTGACATAGCAGTGGTAATAAGGCAGTTACTTGAACAGGTGCCTCTTACAAATGGAATGGGAAATGGTGCTTGTCCAGAGAGCAGATGGTAGCTCTACTTAGCAGTCACCTCTATCCCCAATGTCACTGATGTATGTAAACAATCAACATATAATCTCCTCTAACCTGCACATTCTCTGGTTTATTCTTATAAGGGTATCATTTTGGGGCAAGAGTGCAGGGAATGTGACTTTTGGAGGAAGGGAGAACACGAGGGCTAAAGATGCATTGTCAATGAGAGTCTGATAATATTTTATATTTTTTTATTTCCTACTATTTTTCCTCCTATTAGCAGAAAACACAACAATGATCAATATGATGGATTCTTTTTTTTTTTTCCCACTTTAATTGTTTGTGCAATTGGTGACCACTATGTGTATAAAAGAATAAAAGTAATTCTGGACCAAAGATGAGAAGAACACTGAAACTTTGATAGGTCACTATTCTTCAATGAACTTGACCCCTAATAAGCAACACCATTATTCATAAATTACTCAAAAGGGGGGCGGGGGCGGAGCAAGATGGCCAAATAGGAACAGTTCTAGTCTCCAGCTCCCAGCGCAAGCGACACAGAAGACAGGTGATTTCTGCATTATCAACTGAGGTACTGGGTGCATTTCACTGGGGAGTGCCGGACAATTGGTGCTGGTCAGCTGTTGCAGCCCGACCAGCGAGAGCTGAAGCAGGGCGAGGCATCGCATCACCTGGGAAGCACAAGGGGGAAGGGAATCCCTTTTCCTAGCCAGGGAAACAGAGACACACAACACCTGGAAAATCGGGTAACTCCCACTCCAATACTGCGCTTTAAGCAAACGGGCACACCAGGAGATTATATCCCACACCTGGCTGGGAGGGTCCCATGCCCACGGAGCCTTCCTCATTGCTAGTACAGCAGTCTGCGATCTAACCGCAAGGCAGCAGCGAGGCTAGGGGAGGGGCTCCTGCCATTGCTGAGGCTTAAGTAGGTAAACAAAGCCCTGGGAAGATCAAACTGGGTGGTGCTCACAGCAGCTCAAGGAGGCCTGCCAGTCTCTGTAGACTCCACCTCTGAGGACAGGGCATAGCTAAACAACAACAAAAACAACAACAACAAAAAAGCAGCAGAAACCTCTGCAGACGCAATCAACTCTGTCTGACAGCTTTGAAGAGAGTGGTGGATCTCCCAACACGGAGGTTGAGATCTCAGAATGGACAGACTGCCTGCTCAAGTGGGTCCCTGACTCCTGAGTAGCCTAACTGGGAGACATCCCCCACTAGGGGCAGACCGACACCCCACAACTCACGCGGTGGAGTACACCGCTGAGAGGAAGCTTCCAAAGCAAGAATCAGACAGGTACACTCGCTGTTCAGCAGTATTCTATCTTCTGCAACCTCTGCTGCTGACATCCAGGCAAACAGGGTCTGGAGTGGACCTCAAGCAAACTCCAACAGACCTACAGCTGATGGTCCTGACTATTAGAAGGAAAACTAACAAACAGGAAGGACACCCACACCAAACCCCCATCAGTATGTCACCAACATCAAAGACCAGAGGCAGATAAAACCACAAAGATGGGGAAAAAGCCAGGCAGAAAAGCTGAAAATTCAAAAAATAAGAGCGCATCTCCTCCTCCAAAGGAGCGCAGCTCATCATCAGCAACGGATCAAAGCTGGAGAGAGAATGACTTTGACGAGATGAGAGAAGAAGCCTTCAGTCAATCAAACTTCTCAGAGCTAAAGGAGGAATTACGTACCCAGTGCAAAGAAACTAAAAATCTTGAAAAAAGAGTGGAAGAATTGATAACTAAATTAATTAATGCAGAGAAGGCCATAAACGAATGGACAGAGATGAAAACCATGACACGAGAAATAAGTGACAAATGCACAAGCTTCAGTAAATGACTCAATCAACTGGAAGAAAGAGTATCAGCGATTGAGGATCAAATGAATGAAATGAGGTGAGAAGAAAAATCTAAAGAGAAAAGAAGAAAAAGAAATGAACAAAGCCTGCAAGAAGTATGGGATTATGTAAAAAGACCAAATCTACGTCCAATTGGGGTGCCTGAAAGTGAGGGGGAAAATGGAACCAAGTTGGAAAACACTCTTCAGGATATCATCCAGGAGAACTTCCCCAACCTAGAAGGGCAAGCCAACATTCAAATCCAGGAAATACAAAGAACGCCACAAAGATACTCCTCGAGAAGAGCAACTCCAAGACACATAATTGCCAGATTCAACAAAGTTGAAATAAAGGAAAAAATCTTAAGGGCAGCCAGAGAGAAAGGTCGGGTTACCCACAAAGGGAAGCCCATCAGACTAACAGAAGATCTATCAGCAGAAACTCTACAAGGCAGAAGAGAGTGGGGGCCAATATTCAACATTATAAAAGAAAAGAATTTTAAACCCAGAATTTCATATCCAGCCAAACTAAGTTTCATAAGTGAAGGAGAAATAAAATCTTTTACAGATAAGCAAATGCTTAGAGATTTTGTTACCACAAGGCCTGCCTTACAAGAGATCCTGAAGGAAGCACTAAATATGGAAAGGAACAACCAGTACCAGCCATTGCAAAAACATGCCAAAATGTAAAGACCATTGATGCTAGGAAGAAACTGCATCAACTAACGAGCAAAATAACCAGTTAATACCATAATGGCAGGATCAAGTTCACACATAACAATATTTACCTTAAATGTAAATGGACTAAATGCTCCAATTAAAAGACACAGACTGGCAAACTGGATAAAGAGTCAAGACCCATCAGTTTGCTGCATTCAGGAGACCCATCTCACATGCAGAGACACACATAGGCTCAAAATAAAGGGATGGAGGAAGATCTACCAAGCAAATGGAAAACAAAAAAAAGCAGGGATTGCAATACCAGTCTCTGATAAAACAGACTTTAAACCATCAAAGATCAAAAGAGACAAAGAAGGCCATTACATAATGGTAAAGGGATCAATTCAACAGGAAGAGCTAACTATCCTAAATATATATGCACCCAATACAGGAGCACCCAGATTCATAAAGCAAGTCCTTAGAGACTTACAAAGAGACTTAGACTCCCATACAATAATAATGGGAGACTTCAACACCCCACTGTCAACATTAGACAGATCAACGAGACAGAAATTAACAAGGATATCTAGGAATTGAACTCATCTTTGCACCAAATGAACCTAATAGACATCTACAGAACTCTCCACCCCAAATCAACAGAATATATATTCTTCTCAGCACCACATCACACTTATTCCAAACTTGACCACATAATTGGAAGTAAAACACCCCTCAGCAAATGTAGAAGAACAGAAATTTTAACAAACTGTCTCTCAGACCACAGGGCAATCAAACTAGAACTCAGGACTAAGAAACTCAATCAAAACCGCTCAACTATATGGAAACTGAATAACCTGCTCCTGAATGACTACTGAGTACACAACGAAATGAAGGCAGAAATAAAGATGTTCTTTGAAACCAATGAGAACAAAGATACAACATACCAGAATCTCTGGGACACATTTAAAGCAGTGTGTAGAGGGAAATTTATAGCACTAAATCCCCACAAGAGAAAGCTGGAAAGATCTAAAATTGACACTCTAACATCACAATTAAAAGAACTAGAGAAGCAAGAGCAAACACATTCAAAAGCTAGCAGAAGGCAAGAAATAACTAAGATCAGAGTAGAACTGAAGGAGATAGAGACACAAAAAAAAAACCTCCAAAAAATCAATGAATCCAGGAATTGGTTTTTTGAAAAGATCAACAAAATTGATAGACCGCTAGCAGGACTAATGAAAAAGAAAAGAGAGAAGAATCAAATGGACGCAATAAAAAATGATAAAGGGGATATCACCACCGACCCCACAGAAATACAAACTACCATCAGAGAATACTATAAACACCTCTACACAAATAAACTAGAAAATCTAGAAGAAATGGATAACTTCCTGGACACTTACACTCTCCCAAGACTAAACCAGGAAGAAACTGAACCCTGAATAGACCAATAGCAGGCTCTGAAATTGAGGCAATAATTAATAGCCTACCAACCAAAAAAAGTCCAGGAGCAGATGGATTCACAGCTGAATTCTACCAGAGGTAAAAGGAGGAGCTGGTACCATTCCTTCTGAAACTATTCCAGTCAATAAAAAAAGAGGGAATCCTCCCTAACTCATTTTATGAGGCCAACATCATCCTGATACCAAAGCCTGGCAGAGACACAACAAAAAAAGAGAATTTTAGACCAATATCCCTGATGAACATCGATGCAAAAATCCTCAATAAAAGACTGGCAAACCGGATTCAGCAACACATCAAAAGCATCACACGATCAAGTGGAAGCCATGCTGGGATGCAAGGCTGGTCCCAGCATATGCAAATCAATAAACGTAATCCAGCATATAAACAGAACCAAAGACAAAAACCACATGATTATCTCAATAGATGCAGAAAAAGGCCTTTGACAAAATTCAACAGCCCTTCACGCTAAAAATGCTCAATAAATTTGGTATTGATGGAACGTATCTCAAAATAATAAAGAGCTATTTATGACAAACCCACAGCAATCTCATACTGGATGGGCAAAAACTGGAAAAATTCCCTTTGAAAACTGGCACAAGACAGGGATGAGCTCTCTCACCACTCCTATTCAACATAGTGTTGGAAGTTCTGGTTAGGGCAATCAGGCAAGAGAAAATCAAGGGGGATTCAGTTAGGAAAAAGAAGAAATCAAGTGTCCCTCTTTGCAGATGACATGATTGTATATTTAGAAAACCCATTGTCTCAGCCCAAAATCTCCTTAAGCTGATAAGCAACTTCACCAAAGTCTCCAGGATACAAAATTAATGTGCAAAAATCACAAGCATTCTTATACACCAATAACAGACAAACAGAGAGCCAAATCATGAATGAACTTCCATTCACAATTGCTTCAAAAAGAATAAAATACCTAGGAATCCAACACAGCGGATGTAAAGACCTCTTCAAGGAGAACTCAAAGTCTCAGGATACAAAATTAATGTGCAAAAATCACAAGCATTCTTATACACCAGTAACAGACAAACAGAGAGCCAAATCATGAATGAACTTCCATTCACAATTGCTTCAAAAAGAATAAAATACCTAGGAATCCAACTTACAACGGATGTAAAGACCTCTTCAAGGAGAACTACAAACCACTGCTCAGTGAAATAAAAGAGGACATAAACAAATGGAAGAACATACCATGCTCATGTATAGGAAGAATCAATATCATGAAAATGGCCATACTGCCCAAGGTAATTTATAGATTCAATGCCATCCCCATCAAACTACCAATGAGTTTCTTCACAGAATTGGAAAAAACTGCTTTAAAGTTCATATGAAACCAAAAAAGAGCCCACATCTCCAAGACAATCCTAAGTCAAAAGAACAAAGCTGGAGGCATCAAACTATACTACAAGGCTACAGTAACCAAAACAGCATGCTACTGGTACCAAAATAGAGATATAGATCAATGAAACAGAACAGAGTCCTCAGAAATAATACCACACATCTACAGCCATCTGATCTTTGATAAACCTGAAAAAAACAAG